GCCCCCCAATATCACGCTCTCATTACTCTAAAACTGCATCTTATTGTTAACCTCCAGACAGATATGATTTTAAATAGTTGATGCCTTATGAAATACTCAACCATCTCAGTTCCCTTCAGCCTATATAACCATATGTTTCATTTCTAGTCTCTTACTCTCTGCTGCTAACATCTGCATGTAAACACCATCCTGGTACTCCAAGTCGCATCTGTTCCCGCTGCCTGTTCTTCACCTGAAGTCATAATCCCGTTTGAGACATCATAATCGCTTCCCAGCAGAGAATTGTTGCTTCAGGTGGGGAATAAAGCAGAGAGGAGAGACGAACTCTCAGAAACAAAGACCCTAATCTCTTACAGCAAGGGACATCCTTCACTAAGCCTACCTGGCTTTACAGATTATACCCTCCTGGAGACCCACAGAGCAATACATGGATGCCGGAGAAGCACCCACGTGAAATATGCTGGTTTGTCATAAGGCAAGACCAAACATGGGGTGCGGGGAAGGATAAAGCAAACGCCTCTGGGGTGTCACTCAGAATAACTGTTAGCTTCTACAAAAAGGGATACGTTCACTGGGAAGAATAAAGTATCTCCAGAGCCATCCTTATTAAGTCAAACTTAACAAGAATTTGTGCCAGACAGTGGCTGTGGAAGTCACAACTGGAAGTTCCTCTGACCCAGAGCTGGGTGAACAGTTTATCCTTGGTCCCTGGTGTCAGGTCGTCCCTATTCTTCCCTAACGGTGCAAACAGTCTTGTCTTCTCACCACTGCTCTTTCCTTTCCTCCCTTGCCTTCATATCCAACACTCAAAACCAAAAGAAAACAATCGACACAAATCGGAGAACATAACAAATCACAGTCTCGTTGATCCCTTGAGAGAAGATGTAAATGAAGACATCTCCACTGGCAGATAAAATATATTTTCTAGTTCATTATTATTAGAAATAGAACGAAGCCTTAGCAGGTAAGTGATAAGGACGATCACAATGCTTATTGGTGAATTTAAGGCTTAAGAAGAGAACTTTGTACATCCAAGACTGGGAGCGGGCAGCAGGTTCTCCACATTTTCTGTGCCTTTAAATGCTGATCAATAAATGTTAATTCCAATTTAACTGTCCTTGGAAAGAAGACCTGACGTGTACTTAAACTTACTTTAAGTCTTCTAGAAGTCTCCATGTTTGATTCAATTTTTTTTTGTTTTTAATCCCTAATGGTGCCTGCCCACAGAAAGTGCTTAAAGATATCTGTCTGCTGAACCAACAAAAGAAAGAGCGGTTAGCTTAGTGGCAAGATGGCCAACTTAATGAGTTCAACTATTAGCCATCCTAGAATCACACGGTTGCAGGAGGGTCCTGGTGAGAAAAAGCAGATGAATAAGCAGAAGTAAAATTCTATCAGCACTTCAGGAAAAGTGGCTCATGAGGCAATAGCATTTTCTTCATTTGTAAAGGGCAGCTACTGATTTTTACTATAACTTGTACCTTTCTTTCAAAGGTTTAATAAAAGCATGATCACAGCCTTGAATGCATGTATTTTTATGATCGATACAATCAAGTGAGCACCTACGAAGTGAGATACATTAAGGACAGACTTTCGTTCTCAACAAACGTTAGTTGAAAAGAATGAATAATAAATGAAAGAATGACCGTGGCTCCTTCAAATCTGCCCTCCTTGGTTTGTAGCTTGTCTGCCTTCTTGACGGTAACTCCAACACGCAGGGACTTGACCCGACTTGCGCCTAGTGCCTAAAACGGTACCTGACTCAGTAACTCATTTGCAGAATAAATGGATAAATATATGAGTGAAAAATATGTTTTTAGTTGAAGAAACTAGACACTTATTCGACTTGTGACTTGTCTTAATACAAGATACCCATCTGTAGAGGTAGAAAATACCAAAGTTTACCAGATAGGATTAAACACGTACGCGCGTACCCAAATCTTCAAGAACAGGGGCTCTTCTCCTTTCCTGCAAGGCCTGATAGGAGCCCTGGCGGCTCGCACAATGGTTCAAGTGCTTGACTGCTAACTTCCAGGTTGATGGTTTAAACCCACTAGCCGCTCTGCAGGAGAAAAGACCTAGTGATCTGCTCTCGTAAAGATTACAGCCTAGGAGACCCTACGTGGCAGTTCTACTTCGTCTGCTACAGTACAGAGGGTTGCTATGACTTGGAATCAACTCAGTGGGGCACAACAACACAGTGCCTGATTAAATCTCGTGCCATAGCAACTGCTCAGTATGTGGTTATGAATCAAGGAAATGCAAGAAGGCATTAGTGGTAGGAAAAAAGTGATTTATTTTGATTTTTTTCTTTCTACTGTCAAAAGAGGTCAGATAAAATATGTATTTTATGAAATTTTATAAAAATACATATGGAGCACAATGGAGTGAACATTTAGAATGGGAGAAAACATTTCAGGAAAAGCCGTGATTATTAATTTAAGAAGGGTTAATATACAAACAGTAAGAATACTTGACTTTTCAAAGTAGTCCAGATTAGAGACCAACAGGGAGAAAGGTATTGTACATCTGCTTATAAAAGAATCAAAGTAAAACAAACATGCTTGCAATGGCTTGCAACGAAATTCAAAATGTATACATGTAAACAAGAAAGAATAAGATAAGGCGTCTATTTATATATCAATATTTTGCCATAGCTGGATTTAAAATGATGATCTATTTAAATTTGCCTGGCATAAAACTTTAGATCTAATTAATCATTGTTAAGGGGTATTTACAAGGTAAAGGAATGACAACTCATAACAGTATTCTATACAAGGCTTTGAATTTTCAAGTTTTAACCTTAAGTAAACATGTATTAATTCAGTACCACATTAAAACACTTAAAATGCATAGAATAAATGAACAACTTTTTCATATGCTGTTGAGAAATCTTTTTAATATACGACTGAGGGCGTGTGGAGTTAGCTAAGCTTCCTTGAACTTGTTTATTTTTAAAGAGCAGTTAAAGTATCATCTTATCATCTTTGGGTATGTTTTAATAAAATAATTACCTCTAGATCCAGAGGAATAGATGGGACTCAACGACTTCAAGTTCCCTTTCTGTACTTGGAAGCAAGTGGTAATGACTTCCTGCCCATGCTTCCCCATTGCCTTTGTCAGCCATGGTAAATCAGGCCTCACACACCCAGTTTCCAGAACCAAGCGAGTCAAGAACCTAGAACCAAGTTTAAAAACCAAACCAATTGCCACTGAGCCGATTCCGACTCATGGCGATCCCATGTGTGTCAGAGTAGAACTAGGCTCCATAGGGTTTTCAATGGCTGATATTTTTCGGACGTAGACTGCCAGGCTTTTTTTCCGAGGTGCCTCTGGGTAGACTTGAACCACCAACCTTTTGATTAGCAGCTGAGTGCACTAACCATTTGCACTACCTAATCTCTCTGCTCTTTCTCCCAGTTGGGTCTGCCAGTTCTCAGAAAGGAAGCAGAGAGAAGCTAGGCTAAGCAAAGAGAGGGGGTCAAGGGCCTGAGTGTCCAGAGGCAGATGGTGCTAAGCGGGTAACACCAGGCAGTTCTGGAATTGGAGAGCTTAGTGGTGGCTTAAAACAAAAAATAGTCTGGCCACGTCATATTCCCCATTATCTGAGTGAGTGCTCAGTGTGATCAGATACTTCATAATACTATCAGAACTCCATAGTTCTGAAACACAGCTCATGGGGCGTCCAGCGTCATCCATTCCAAGTGGTTCTGAGCTATTTCACAGTCTATTTTGGATTAGATTTTTAAAGGCAATTTCTTCCCAACTTACATTCTTTCCACAGGCTGCACATTTCAATTGTTCTTATACGAAAAAACTTGCTGCTTTTACACACTGAAATTTAATTCAGTAATTTGAGACAACTTCCCTAATTTATCAACTTTCTTTAACTCTGGTTAGAGAATAATATTTATTGTATCTCCCAGCTTCAAATTATCAACAATCTGACAACATGTTCAACTCCATTCTCCAGTTCATTAATAAAAATATTAAACATGAAGATTTAGAATAGATTCGCTCTGGGACTATATTCAACATCCCTCCCCAACTTGCCACAAGATACTCATTTCTCTGCATTTGATTTTCCTTGGCCAATTCTTTGTCCATTTTGGGACAAAATTATGTAATCCAATGTTCTTTGATATTTTTGTTTTTTGTCCTAAAGAATATATATTATGGAGAGTCTTAAATATATACATAAAAAGGAGATATATATAAGTATACACACACATACATCTACATAAAATGGACGCATAAGAAGTCATTGTAAATAAATAACAATATAATGATTTGTACAGAACCTTTTAAAAAATTACCACATTTAAAATGGGAAAAGGAACTTAATTTATTGTAGATTGCGTTAAGGTTTTCATGATCAGTTATTAAATGTATGTCCCTTAAGGCTTAATTTGTAACGCTAAAGAAATATTGAAAGAAATAACAACCTGTAGTAAGATTCCACATTGGCACGCAAACATATGCGGATATACGTGCTTTAAAAGAAAATCATACTAAGTCTATATCAACAATTAATGTTTGGCTAAATGTAATAAAAGCTTAATATTTTTGCTTTCAAGTAAAAGTACTACCCCATTCAACACATGAGCCAAATATATCTCACATAAATTTTTCTAACCTTTCTTTTTAATATATAAAGCATTTTATAGATAATATGTCTTGTGTTCCTTTCTTTCATAAGGGCTAGATTACCGTTAATATCTCATGACACGCAAAGTAACACTGCAACAGATATTAAAGCATTTGTTCAGCCACTTCTTCCATGAAATATTAATTGCAATCCTGTGCTTGAGCCGTACATACAGGGGATTAAGTAACTGAGTTCCTGCTCGGTTCTGAATCAATAACAGAAAACATGCACAGCATCCATCATCATTCACTCTTCTGTTAGCACCGGATAACTCCAAGTGGAAAACTTAAAAAAAAATGGTGACGCACTCATGGAGACATACGAAGCTGGCGAAGAGGTGAGCAATGCTTACCTAGGAAGGACAGGTTTTTCTCCAGAAGCAAGTCTCTTAGCAGGACTTCGTGCTCGTGACCAATGGCACTGAGACGTTTTAGTTAAGGTAGATAATGCAGAATTATACCGCAGAGGAAGCGCAAACAACACCAGATCTGTACTTTGAGATGAAACGGACAATTGAGGCAATTACAGCAACCATTTCCACTTTTAGCCCACATCTCCGGGGCATGAGATTTTTAGACACATTCCTCATTTAAAGGGTTCCATGGAACTTTTCTATAATGTTTTCATGGATTTTGGTAAACAAATATCGGTAAATGAATGAGTCCTTTAGCTTCTTTTGAAAAGAGAGAGGTCATTTTAAGCATCCTTTATGCTGTGCTAAAAATCTCTCAATTCAACTTAACCAGTTGCCATTGGCTCTGACTCACGCTAACCTCAGGCGTGTCAGAGTACAACTGTATGCCACAGAGTTTTCACGGCTGATTTTTTTGGAAGTAGATTGCCAGGCCTTTCTTCCAAGATGCCTCTGAAAAAACCTCCACCCTCCTGGTTAACAGCCGTGCATGTTCACCCTTTGCACCACCCAGGGACACCAAATTTAACTTGGCACACGTTTATTATGCGCTTACTACATGCAACAAGGAGTACCAACCAGTCTTTGCTCTAAAAGTGTTTCTAATTTCACAGAGTTGTGCAAATCTTTTCGAATCTGAAGATTGTGAATGCACACCTGTTCCGAGCCAGCCTTTAGAAGCTCCTCTGCTTCACCTGTGGTCTACTGTTTGCCATCTGTAACGTGGGAAATCAAACTGAGCTTGTGGAGAACTGTACGTAATCTGGAAGAAGGACATCTTAGTCAAGGACTGTGGGCTGGGGCCTGGGTGCAGAGGCTGTTCCAAGGGTCTCTTTCTCATGTGTATACATGTACACGTATGTGTCATATATACGCATATAAATACACACATACACATTTGTTATGTGCTCACTATGTGGCAAGCATTGTGTTAAGCGCTTTATATATATTATTCCACCTGCACAATTACTGCCATTTTTATCTTATAAAGGAGAAAACTAAGGCTTCGAGACACTTAAGGAACCCGCATGAGTTCAATACAGTTAATCCGTGGCTGAGCCGAGGACAAGAACAGAGATCTCTGCAAAGCCTGTGTTTATGACTTCTCTAAAAGTATTGGAATTATTTACATCATAATAATTGATAACAGCAACTATTTATTAAATGTCATGCACTGATATGCCTTTGTGCTTATTAAAGTGTCCTCTTATTGAATCCTCCCAACCACCACATGAGTAGGTACTGTTATTAGTCCCTTCTTATACTCATGGTCAGTAAGGCTCCGGGAGGCTGACCAACTTGCCAAAGCTCCCGCGTTAATCACCGATGGAATCAGGAGCAGAAGTTTGAATTCTGGTCTATTTCCCAACGGGATGAGATGGCACAGCGTCTGAAAAGGGGTGCTGTCCCACTCCCATACTTTAATTCTGTCGAAAGCATTTGGTAAGAATTACTTGAATAATTATCTTAATTCTCCACTTCAATGATAACGTCCACCTGGCTGACATGTTGACTCCCTGGCTTACCAGAGATTCTTTGGTTCTGATTACACACTTGAAAAGCTTAATGTAAATAAAATAAACAGAATATGCTATTTGTTCAAAATTCCTAGAGAATTATTCTGCCCTTTATCAACACACAGATCAAAATCTTTGAAATCTTCTAATTCAAAGGATATGGCCCCTCATGTCCACTATCCAAGAAGCCCTAAAGCCCTACGTCATCATTACTACCTTTTGACTCCTGTTTTTTTTCCCCCTTCAGTGCCCATGGTTATTCGTATTTAATTTCTAATTGAGAGAATAACAGAATCCAATTTTTAAATCACAAAATTTCACACATTCGCAGAGACCACTGGAGACACGTGATGAATAACTCTCCATGGTCTCCCATTACTAGGGGCATCCCACATTTTAGAACTGAATTATTTACTTCTATTCCACATAAATGTACTCTGACTTGTATTGTTGTAAATTATTTACATCTAAAATGTTGAATCATGAAACTGAGGTTACTGAAGCTACAGAAATGAAACCCACAGCATTTTCAGCTTCCTGCATCATTCCTGCACCTTGCCTTGCCTCTCTGTTTACGTCTCTGTCTAATAGCTGTGTCCTAGAGTCACACTTTGAAAAGTTGAGGCGGCTGGTGTCTCACGCCTTTTGGGTCAGTGAGTATGATTTGTGGCAGGAAAGGTGTGGGTGGGCATGGCTATGGAGGGAAAAATCGTAGTAACACCAAAAGGAAAAGAAACGGCAGTGACAGCTTATATACCCTTCACTCCTGTGCTTTTTGTGGTGCCTTATTAGTAAACGACCAGTTTATACTTAATCCTTCTTACACAAATGTCTCTGGGTAACATTTTCGTAATGGAGTAAAAAGGTTTCACACCTGTTTTATTCACTAAACGTGACCTTCTTTCTTACAAAACGATGTAATTTATTGAGAGTAAGCAACGCAAACGTTACCAAATTATCAGGATGACATACAAATCTCATTTCACTCACGTGGGAAAACAATCATTTTCATTCAGTGTGAAATAAAATAATTTATAGAAGTCCCATGATCTGTTGGAGCCTGTTGATCCGTGAAGAAACATCTATGTCAGTGTATTTGCATTATGTAAAACTGTTACTACTTCAACGCAAAAAAAAAATCAGGTTCTCTATAAACTTCCCAGCCTGCTTTATTTTGCATGGTAAAAGCAATCACCAATTTGAAATTTCAGAAAGAAATACTTCTTGATTATGCTTTGCTTGATACAAATATATATAAAATGCAAGGTCTAGAAAATAAAGCTTATAAAAACAGTAATTTTATTAGCAACAGGCATCATGGAACTGCAAAAATTATAATCTAGCCAGTGAATGCAATCTGTAGACATCTATCATTATCTTTATCAACTGAAATCATGTACTACGGTGAGACCTACTGGCAATAACCCAGCCAAAGAAGGGAAGTGAATGATGGCAAAAATGTAAGGAAAATACTCCAAACAGAATTTATAATGTGCTATAAGCAGAAACACTTAGACTTTGTCTATAATAATACCTATTATTGATGTATAGCTGTGACCATGGGGCAAAATTTGTAAATAACCTCACAAACCATTTTCTTCACCAGCAATACAGCAGCCTCGTTTCCCGTAAGCATCTCAACTATTACTGAAAAATAGCCTCTTGGCATTTACAAAGCAGTTGACTTCATACTTTAGTCCATGCATATATAATTAGATAGTTATATTTAAAATCAATATGCAATCCTTCAAAAGACATTATGCTTTTAAAGCCTTAACTTTAAGTTGATTTTTAACTATTTTATGTGCTTTAAAATTAACATGTAACTCAGCCCAGATACTCTGAGATGGTGTTAGTTGTTCTGCGAAGGAGTTAAACTTTATCACGGTAGCCACACGAGGTTGGTGCTCCTACTATTTCGAACACTGTCATCAATTTTATACTGAAAATAGAAGTACAGTTTTACTTTGGTTTAACAGAAAGGCGAGCTTGTGGCAATGCTGTGTTTTTATGAATTTAAGCTACATTAGGTGAACAGACTTGGAGAATAAATATATTCTTAGGTACCAAGTATCCCCGTAAGAGGGCGCAATTAAAAGATTAGATTTCAAAGGTTAACTTTATTTATGAAAGAGAAAATGAGAAATCTTCATTACAAAAATGTTACTGACTCAACGCCTTTGTGAGACAAGACGGGATATAAATACACACACACACACACACAGATGTGTGCACACATGTGACTAGCAAGGGCTTCCAACGAAGAGCCTCGCCGAGTCACAATGGTGGCAGTGCCATCCCTGTTAACAACACATGTAACATGTTCATGTTATTGAGAAGTTTGAGAATCATGGGCTTATATAATCTTCCTAAGAATGTCAAATTATTAACTACTTAAATAGCAGCTGTAGTCAAAGATTATCAATATACTACAACACTATTAAATTTACTTATTAATAACGGCCGACTTCATAAGGAGTTAGCATTCATTCAAACCCTGTTTTAAGAAGTATGCATTAACTCTTTAAATAATGAAGAATAATTTGTAATTTATAATAAATATAAACAATGTCTATAATGAAGAATGACTGGTCATCTGTTTTCACAATGAATTTAGTCTAGAGGCAAACAGTAGCGAGGTTTCTCTAAAATTGTGTATTAGGAACCCAAAAGACGGCTCAGATTTTAATCACATCATCACCTTTAACTCGAGGCTCAAAATTTATTCTAGTAAACTCAACTGAATTGGGCTCATTTTAAATGACACTTCATTACATTTAAAAAAAAATGTTCCTTGGAATGCTAAAATACAATCCAAGACACTGTTACCTGCCTAATGATTCTATACCTTTAAACTCACTGAAAACCCGAGAGCTTTGAAATAAGCGTGCAGTTGCTGAACTGACATCTTCCCGCTGCCCGTCCGATTTCTCTGAAGCTGTAGAAAAGAATGGTCTGCAGTGATCCTCCAGCTGATTGAATGCAAAGGACAAGAGTATGAAATGTGTTTTGTGAAGCAGAACTTTATGTCAGGTTAAAGCCAGACACATCTCCTCCACCGAGTCTAAGCCCGTCAATTGCGCACCTAAAATTTTATAGGGAAGGATACTGTTTGATGCAGTCCACCAGTGGTCCATAACAGCAGTCATTCACGATGCACTGCAGACAGATAAGAGAAGGGATCTGGGGCGGGGGCTGACGACAAATACTATCACAGTTAACCAGTATCCTAAAAGCAGTAATCACTTCTCTTCCAAAAAGAAGAAGAAAGAGCTATCAAAAGGCTGTTCAGATTTAATCACAGAAAACAAAAATTGCATGCTTTTTATTCGCTATAAAAGCAAGCTATTAAAAAGTGAAATGCTCTTCTCGCAAATATTGCATTGCCATTCATGGTGCCCCCTGACCTCAGTGATGGTTTATGATGACAGTAATTAAATGAGGTTTAAAATCCTTTACTCCGCTAGGCAGATACAAGCATCGGCGCTGAAAACAGACAGCTGTGATTAATACCTGATAGACCTGATTCGCCAGAACTCCATCTGGAATCTGAGAAGGGTCCCGCAGCATACTATTTATAACAGACTTGGAGGCTGTGGAAGCAAAGAAATGAACTATTAGCAGATAGTCAACATACTTTTAACGCAACATGAGAAGTGACATATACCTAGACATACACAGACCAGGAAAATGAAAACATCGCTGATACGAATCATTTTTAATTTTTTTTCCTAAGGGAAGCTTTTAATTAGACCATTTCGCCAAGTTTATAAGCCACATTGCCAGATTTGATGATGACTTAATTTTTCCAAAGTAAATTAACAAATACAGACCTAAAGCGTATGTCTCTTTGCAGATAAATTAGCTTTGGAAAAGCCCAGTTGGAAAAACCCAACAAAAACAACCAGAAAAGGGAATATTTACCTTTTGCAGGTAGGTATTTAATAACCAAGCATATGTATGTGGAGAACTCAGTGAAGGCAGGTCAGACTCAAAGACTTCAGTGATGTCAATAAAAATAGCTCTCAGCCAAGAAAGCATCTCTGCATTCTAGACCTTTCCAAAATAATTCCCGTCACTGCCATAAAATGTCGTGTCCATTTTACAGGTGAGGAAAGTTAACTTGCTGTCAGTGGAGGGAATCTTAAATAAGGAAATAAATATGTATGCATTTTTCTCCCCCAAGAGCCTCATAACATCTACTCGCAAAACAAGCGGACCTTCGCCCAGGAAAGTGTCCTAGAAGAGAGGCATCTAAGGGAGATTTCTAATGAGGGATGCTCCACCAGATAATACCCTTTGAAAAGCAAGGGTGGCAGAGCCTGGCCTCGGGGTGCACCATGGGCAGGTGGTAGCCAAGCTGGCCAGAACGTCTCTGAATGCCAGAGAGGAAGGCAGGTCTCTGGACTGGTCCAGGGAAAGTGTGCCCTGAAGCTAAGTCAACCACTGCTTAGGAATCAATTCTTCCAAGCATTCTAAATATTCCCAGATATTTAGCAACGTGGATTTGGGTCTGGCCTAAAAAGCATACACTGAAATGCACGCTGGATAACTATTTGGTTAACACAGGCCACAAATCTACATCACTGATTCTGAGGTGATTTCTGGCCTTTTCTCTTGTATTATCTTCTTTATCCAGTTCAGTATCATACAAACACTGACGGAAATGATAAATTTGGTAAACACTGTGGAAAGAACGAGGGAAATTACATCTTACTCATGTACGCATAGTGCTGAGTGCACAGAGAAAAAACCAAGTACAATTATTTTAATTATTGACTATTAGTCAATAATTTATACGCATACAGTATCCCTCAGTATCTGCAAGGGATTGGTTCCAGGATCCCTGCATATGTCAAAATCCAAGGATGCTCAAGTCCCTTATATAAAATGGCGTAGGATTTGCATATAACCTACACACATCCTCCCTTATAGCTTAAGTCATCTGTAGGTTACTTATAATACCTAATACAATGGAAATGCTATGTAAACAGTTGCTTCATCACAAATGAAGATATGCTCTGGAAGGTGACTTTTCTCTCCTGTGAGTTTCTTGGGCTCTTCTGGGATGCTGCCTAGGCCGCAGTCGACCGGCCTGTGATCTTGAAGTTCTGGAGGCTGTAGCACTTCACGTAGTTAGCCAGACACCCCTGACTAGCCTTCAACTCCTTCTTCTTGCTCTCTCCAACACCCTTACAATCAGCCTCTGAGGGGCTGCTTGGACTGCAGTGCTTTTTAGGAGACATTTTTCACAGAAACCAAGGGTACACACAACACGAGTAGCAAATGAAGCAGATACCAGGCGAACAACGGTCAAACAATGAGTTCCAGAGAGAGACTGAGGGCTGTGAAGCGGCGGGGGGCTGCAGCAGGGGGTGCCTACAGGTCATTTCATTCATGGGGACTCAGCGTAGCGCTCAGCACACGGCAAATTCAAATTCTGCCTTTTGAAACTTTGTATTTATTTTTCCGAATATTTTTGATCCATGGTTTGTGGAATCCATGGATGGGGAACCCATGAATGTAGAACCCGTGGATACCAAGGGCCAACTGTAGAGAAAAGTTTATACACTTAATCGTCATTTGAAGACATGTGTTTGCACGGCAACTGGACAGGCCCTATGGAATCCTGAAAAGAGCATCACCTGAGGAATCCTATCCAGCCTTATCTCTACGACTAACTTTGCAACCGAGGTAAGTTACGTAGCCTCTCAAATTCAGCGTCTTCATCTGTGGAAAGTGATAGTATTATCTGATCTGATCTTGTGTTGCCCTAAAAAGTAGCTACGACAGCATTTTGTTCAAGTTTAAGTGCTAGTTAGAACCCAGGCAGGCTACGGCGTTTCTTCCTATGAGCTTAAATTGGGCCCAATTATTTCTGAATGAAATAACTAGGGGTGAGTGGTACCAACCTTGCGAAGATGAAGCAGCAAGCTGCCTTTTTGTAAAAGAACAGATTCTTGTAGCAGTAGTATTAAATCAATGATAATGTGCCTGGCAAACTCAGTATTTCCAGCTTAATTCTAAGACTCAACCAGTAGGAAGAGACCAAAACAGTCTCTCAGGGATTCGGTCACCTTCTCTGGTTAGTCACTTAGCCACCAGATGGTCACGGCAGACACATTCTTGTATGTTACCAATAACGCCTTTGATGTCTCAAAGAAACAACAGTGCTGCCCTTGACATATGTACCTGGCCATCGCTACGGTGTCTCAGACCTACGTGAGAAAAGATTAACATATAAATGGCCAGACAGCATGGTCAAAAACGCTATCCTGATGGAAAATTACTGACCTCGTACCAAACTATACGGAAACTCATGGCTGAAATCATAAAACAAAGGCTCTTTTTCAAAAAGAAGAGGAACAATAAGGCATAAGAAATACAGGTCATTTATCTTATGAGAGAACAAAAGGACATATTAAAGAAAAAAGAAACTGACGACATCATAATTTTCCTCACAATATAAATTTGAGAACAGGGTGCTTATCGGAATTAGGAATCGTAGCCAATAAAACTTTTAAAAATAGTTTGAATATATTCAATAGAACACTATTCAAATCAAAGGAAGCTTGAGAGAGGAAGTCAGTCATTGTAAATCAAACAGCAAAAACCATATATTGAGCGTGCATTCATTTTAAACTCAACAACCTGCCATTATTTGGAGAGGGAGAGAAAGAGCTAACAACTGGGACGTCAAGGCCTTTGCTGCAGACCCAGGACGCCCCTGCCCTCCGTACACGGATCTGACGACTCAGATTGTCAGAGTGTGTCTGTGTCTCAAATCAAGCCCGTGTGCAAACCTACTTTTACACACATATTCTAAAGCTCAGGAACTGCCATCTCAAAGAGATGGACAACAACATTAACCAAATAAGTAAAGGCAATTGGACAATCTTGGGATGCGTTGGGGGTAAGTGTCTGAAGGAAGCCGGGAAGCTGTCCTCCTCCAGCAACTACCTCTAGTCAATTTGTAACCTGTTTTTGTTTTTTTTTTAATTTATTGTGCATTAGGTAAAAGTTTACATAGCAAATTAGATTCTCCTCCGATAGTTTATACATAAAGTGCTTCATGGCCTCCGTTTCATTCCCCACGATGTGCCAGCACTTGCCCCATTTCCACCCCTGGGTTCCCCACTTCCTTTTGTCCTGATTTTTTTTTGACCACACGTGGAGGGGGGTCTTATTCCCCTGAACCTTCGCTGGAGGCATTCATTCTGTTGATTTCAGCTGCTCCTACTTCAGCTGCTGGGATTTCAAATTTCTACCAAGCAAGTAAAAGCAAGAATGCATGAGTCACTCGGAGCTAGATCCACAAGAAGATGAGAGGGCTGGTGCCTGTCAAAGCACGCTACAATAGGCAACAGACAAGGGCTGGACTGAGCAATGAGGCCTAAGTAAAGACTGTGATCACATTACTGTGAAACATTTCTAACAGAAATACGTCAAGAGCCTAGTGTTATAAACATCATGCTACCGCCTCCCTGATTTAAAAAATGTTAACATTTAGCTACATTTGTTTTTGATTAAAACTATAAAATAAAACATACAGATATAATTGAAGTCTCCTTTGAACAAGGATCCCATTCTCCACGCTCTCTCCAAAGAGGTAACCACCATCCTGAAGGTGAGATCCCTCAATTTCATCTGGGTTTTTAGCCTTTTACCATAAACAATACCCACATTATTTTGTAGTCTAAACTTTGCATAATTCCCACAGGAGTGCCTGGGTGGTAGAAATGGTTAACACTCTCAGCTACTAACCAAAAGGTTGGCAATTCAAGTCCACCCAGAGGCATCTGTGAAGAAAAGCCTGGTGATCTACTTCTGAAAAATCAACCATTGAAAACCCCATGGAGCATAGCTTACTCTGACACACGTGGGTCTCCATGAGTCAGGACTGACTCTACAGCAACGGGTGGTATAACTGATATACTCTGCATATCCTTTTGAATCTTATTTTCTTTTTCATTCAAAATTGATTTTTCCACTTTTATCCATGTTGAAATATGTCGATCTACCTCATTTATTTAAATTGATATTTGGTGTTATGTTTTATGTATGTTCCCACCTTCATTATCCTTTCTTTTGGGGATGAGATTTCAGTAGATTCCCAGTTTTTCGCTCACTAGCAACACTGCAATGAACAAGTGTAGGCATGTCTTCTTGGGCTCCTACTCAAGAGTTTTTCTAAGGTACCTCTTTAGAAGTACAATTCTGGGTCATGGGTTATATGCATCTTCAACTTTAATAGCTATTCCCGAAGTGTTTCTCCAAATTAGACGAAATACTTTAAATTCCAACCCGCAATGTATGAGAGTTAGAATTTTCCCGTATCCTTTCGGCCTTAGCTTCCCGGGGCTGCTGTAACCGAAACACCACCAAGTGGCTGGCTTTAAAGAAAAGGACTTCTTGACTCAATTTTGGAGACTGCAAGTCTGAATTCAGGCTGTTGGTAGGGCCATGCTCGCTCGGTCAGCTCTAGCGGAAGGTCTTTCTTAGCCTCCTACAGCTTCTGGTAGCCCCAGGCATTTCTTGATATGGTTTGGCTTGTAGATGGATGTTCACATGACATCTGTCTTCCCCCTGAGGG